GACGTATATTCTATTACAGTTGTCGTGGCGGGACCTACATACTCCTTGATATTGTGATTTCGCAACAGTATCTGGGCTGGCTGAATAGGATGGGCCACTATTTCTCTCGTGTACAGTCATCTAACGACGGGTTTATTATTTCTACTGTCGAATTCGATTGCTTTCCATTCCACCCATTCTTTCAGATATGAGTGTTGCAAAACCGATAAGCTCTCCACCAGTGGACCAAACGATAGAAAATAAAGTTGGAGCAGGTTTTTTTTTCGAATCTCTTCATTGCATTTCTCTTAGCTACTACAGGAGCTTCAGTTCAAGAAAAAGTTTTTCTGGCACACACTCTCTGAAATGTGCTTTAAACCTTGACTGAGTTTTGCGGGTTACTGTCAAAAGGAACTCGTTTGAAACAATTTTCAAAGCCCCTGATTTCCTCTGTCCTTAAATACGACAGACCTACTTGAATTGATATTCGTTAATTTTTACTCCCAGGCGCAATCTCAAGCGAAGTCGATCATACTGACATTCTGTCGGACGACATAGAAGTACTACTTTCTCATCCAGAATTCTCTGATGTAATTCTGGTAGTCAATGGAGAAAAAATTCCTGCTAACAAAGCTCTTCTGGCTGTTCGTAGTGAATACTTCAGGAAAGAGCAGTTTTGATTTGTTTCGTGAAGGGATCTCGACTACAGAGGTGACTTTTAGAGGTTTACTTTATGGCGGATTGAAAGAAAGTGGTGACGGCGAAGTCGTACTAAATCAAATCAACGTATTTGCGTTTCGCATCGTTTTAAGGTTACTATCCGATTTTTTGAGCGTTTGCTCTCTCTGTTCTGGAAATTTTGTTCTCTTCGTCCTTGTTCTAGGTATCTCTATACGGCTAAGCTTACACTGAGTGACTATGAGGAAGATCAGCTGTTGGAGATCCTCAGTGTTGCTCATCAATATTGCGTAAATGATCTTCAGCATGCGATTGCTGATTATCTCAAGGTTTTCATTTTTTCCCATTCCGAATCCTCTACTTGTTCCCGATACTACTTTTGGTATAGGTTAGGATGTACGGGACAACTAGCGTGTCTTGCCATTTTCTTTGGGTTACGTGACTACTTGAACTTTCTCTACGTCCCTGACGGCAAGAAGCTAGAGCGCAGAGAAAAACACCCCGGGTGAAGTCTACGGCTGGTGGTGGGGGTCCCATTGGACAGGCGAGCACAACACTCAAAGAACACATCAAACGGGAGTGCGCCAGACGAGGGCAGAAAAATGACGCATCCGGCAAATTTAAAGGAACCGAGTTCAAGTAGGCCGTAGGCCCTAGTATTAACTGTTACCGTATTGCAGGAGATTTTAAGCAACCAAAATGTCTGCAAAATTTTCGAACTTTCTGGTTTATATTCGCTCCGTGCCCTCAAACTGAGTTGTATTGCATTTGCGAAGCAGAATTTCCAACAAGTACTCACCTCGCAGGTACAAATGCTATTTCAGTTCTGTACGGCAAGGCTTATCCTGAAAACTCTAGGGGTTTCTTCAATTACCTACCAACGAGGTGTCCCAGTTGCTGTCATCGCTCGACACATTTTCTATCGATGAACTTTCGAAGTTCCGCGCAATTCGGGCATGGATAATGGCGCACAAAGAACTGCAGGTACCGTATGACCGTCTTGTAAGTTAATTTTCCTTCAGGTTCTCTTCATTCAGATAGATACTGAAGAGATGATCATGGGATGTGTACGGCTTCCACATATCACTCGTGATGCCCTCGTGAAAGAAGTACGAGAATCAGGTCTTCTCAAAGCGGAAACCATACTGAACGCCATGGAAAAACGGATCAGGATGTTCAAGGAGGAAGAAGAGAAGAAAAAGAAAAACACCCTCTCTACTGTTATGTAAATCCTGTAATTCCCTGCAGGCATAGGGAAATGCGCATCCGTATGTAATAATTCGATTGATGGGAAATTGTGTACGTATATCCTCGATGTATACGTCATTTAAACGATAAACTTTTAATATGAGACATGAACTTGTGTGGGTATAACATCAAAGAAAAGTTGTATAGTTTTCGGTTGCTTCGGTCTCGCGTTCTCGAAGTTTTCTAGAGTTGTATTGGATCTTACACTTGGGCTGTACATTGTTTACTGAACCAACCGATGAGCTTGCAAGCGCTCTTCACCCTTTAGACGCCTCCACTCTCCCCTTCTCTCCTATAACAGTCTGTACGATAACCAACCTAAAAATGGTTCAAGGGTTTGGTGGCCCAGATGGATGTCGGTTCAAGGTTTGATCCCAGACTTTACGATTGCTAGCGCCAGAGTAAGCGGCACCAATTTTCTCACTGATATGGCAAGAGGAAGTCTAGTAATGAACTAGGCGACTGTTTTCGAATAGTAAATGATTGTCCACTAAAGGAGCTTGGCACCATCCACCGTTAAACCTCGGAGACGACGACACCCATACTGAAATGTTTCCCTGACATTATAGGCGTCTTTGCTTCATAACGTTTCAGCTAGAAAGCTTGCACAATCATTGCATATCTAATTTGAAGCAATGAAGTAAGGACCTTCGATATTCCCGATTCCTTCACCCCTTAGAATCGTATGGGCGTCCCTTCGATATTATTCTACGTAGTTAGAAGAGTGAACAAACAATCCATTATATAGAGGATGGAGTGGGGATCATTCCACAAAATCTCGTACCGGACGTAGGTAAACGGAAGGCTGAAACTAAAGGGGGCTCAGTGTCACACGTACAGTTCTGGAATTGAATCCAGGTAGGTGCTTGTCATCCCTATGTTGTCAGTAAGGCTGTCAAGTTGGTTCCATAAACGTCTTAGAAAATGGAAGCTCTAATTTTCACATCAAACGAATATTCGACGAATCCACCACGCCGGCAAAACTCATGACCGACACAGCAGGTGAAACTCTTGACGAGCTGTCAATCGAGCAGTCTGGACCCGGTGCGTAACATGTCTGAGGGCCCTTGACTCTATGGGCAGAACCCTCGGCTAATCCTGCCGGAACCCCTGTTATGCTAACCGCAAACGACGAAGTGAGATCGCTTCAGGGGGGAAGGCCCAGTCTCCTAACGCAGACTGCGATGAGTCCGGACCTTTATCAAAGTATGATTGCGTGCCGTCCATATGCAGCCTAAGGACTTTACAGGGAACCTGATCCCCACAGCCTTCACAGTAGAAGGGACGTTTTTTACTACCGGCGAAACAGCTAACTGCCAGAAATGGAATAAGGCGAAATAAGAAAGCTTCTCAGTAGCCAACCCCCTCTGTCGCATCTCAATAACGCGTTCGAATCAGGACATGGGTTGTCGTACCAAAAACGTCTCCTTCAACAGTGCCTAACCTAGGGTAGGATAGAGTAGGGCATGGTCATTCACCATATCATCGGGTACCAGGAAAGAGATGAATCGAGCGTTGAAGAGAATTGAATAAGAAACATCGATGTTATGGTTCAAAAATTCCCACATGGTACTTTACTCCGTTGTGTTAGCGTATTGTATTCGAGGCGCTTTCGCAATCATAACTGACAGCCCAAGTGTGTTTATTTCTAACCCTTCACTGTCACCAGACAGGCTAAAATATGGGCTCTGATTTCGGCTACGCTTGGCATTTCACTTAGTTAAACTTTCATTTGCGTAATTATGTAGATGAGAACGAAATTTTGATGTCACGCTGATCTACATAGCCTCTGTCAGCTGTGATTAACCGCGGCATTCGTCCTCCTTGTGAACAGCTCCCCACATACCTATGAGTAACTTGGCTTGTCTTTTCTTCGGACAACGTCTAATAACTCCTGAGGCTTACAGTGATGAGCGATGACAGTGATCTGGAATGGTTCCTACCGCCCACAGCCGTCAACAAAGAAAGTAAAGGTATCTGTCAAAGTTTACATCATCGAGGTTGTGAGGGGAATCTTACTTCCAGCAGGAAAAGACCTTATACGCTAAGGTTTCTAAAGCAATGCTACACTCTTTAGAACATTACCTTAAGTAAGCCATCTCGAGTTTAGGTTTCCAGTCGGGTGAAATCGATCATAAAGACATTATGTCGAAGAACATGGCATCAATGTTTCTGTGTCGGGACCTGTCTGATGTCACATTCATGGTTGAAGAAGAGGAATTTCCTGCTCATAAGTTTCTCTTAGTTACTCATAGTAAATACTTCAGGCAAGAGAAGTTTTGTTATGTTTGGTTTAAAAAAACTTATTTTTGAAAGTTTTATTTTGTAGAGCCATGTTTCTTGGTGGATTGAAAGAGAACAATGACGACAAAGTCGTGCTCAAGGAAACCAGTGGCTTTGCTTTCCGTGCTCTTTTGTGGTAGGCATATGATGTTTGTGTTAGGCTGTCCTGAATGAGAAAATGCCCACCTTGAGCTCGCTCCTTCTATGTTCTCGTTAAGTGCTGTACTTTGCCGCAGTACGCGAAGCCAGGGTATTACAAGTTTGGCGAGTTTTCTGCAGAATTCTGCCTCGGACAAGACTCGAAACCGTACTTGCTTTCCGGGCTTCCTGGCTTTCATCTCTCACACTACCGACACGGACGGAGGTGATGTAGTGGGGAATGGCGCACTCCACACACGCTTGGTCACGGGTTCAAATCCTGCATCGATATCCGCCCAAGTCAACAAAGCCTTCCGTCCCACCGGGGTCGGTTAATTGGTACCAGATTCGATTGGGAGGATAAAAGGACCGATTTGTACATTGGCTTGCCATCACAACTCGTTGTATAGGCCACATACGCATTCAATACGCCGCTACAATTCTGAGTGGAAGTCGAATGCGGTTCGCATCCCTCAGACGGGATTAATTAACCCCCCAAGACTTGTCTAAATCTCTCTCTCTCTTTACACTACCGAGGCCCGTTTGCACCCTCACGCTTCTAGCTTCAGCATTGTTTTGTTCTTGTTTTTTCGGGAACTTTGCCCATAACTCGTCATCCAAAGTTCTTCTGATTTGACCGACTGAGTTATAATCTCAAGATAAAGGATAAAAGATGAAGTTTTTGACGTGAATCAATCTCGTCTGAGGGATGCGCCCCGCACTCGACTTCCATTCAGAATCGTAGTGGCGTAGTGAGTGCGTGTGGCCTATACAATGACTTGCGGTGGCCAGCCTGCACAAGTCAGTGCTTTTATCCTCCCAGACGGGTCTGGTACCAATTCACCGACCCCGGAGGGATGGAAGGCTTGGTTGGCCTTGCGGACATGGATCCGGGATTCGAACCCCCGGC